CCTCCCACAACCAGACGAGGCGCCCCCACCCGGCAGTTCACGCCATCAACCAAGACAACCACAACCACAACCAGTAAACCAGTCGCCAGCTCCTCAACCACAGTGAAAGCTAGCGCGGCGCCGCCTAGGGCACTGCAAAATACAGGTATCGGTTCTTTGTTTGAACATGATATTAGTTTTCATGTTGTATTGTATGTGTTAAGTTGTATTTGCTTTTTTTTTTTTTTTTTTTTTTTTTTTTTTTTTTTTTTTTTGTTACATGTAGGCCCTACACCCTATACTTTTTATTGTGAGGGAAGTTAGTAAATGGGATCTTTCTGAAGCTTAGGGGTGGGGACGTGACCCACGCCACCTTCCCTGTAGATACCGGTATAAGTATATTACAAATGGAATTATCTCTTCACTGGATGAGCTTATTTCACTTCATACGAGCAAGTATTCATCTAGGCTACTTCTCGTAAATGTAGTAACAAGCAGTATTTACATGTATCTTAGCAATGTTTTGTAACACTCATTATTTATTTTCACAGGTGCTGAATTTCAACCGAAATATGGGGTCCTCTTCTATGTGTTCCACGGGGTTGAAATCGGGTTATGTATCATCATTCTTCTCTTTTTATGCGGAGTATTAACCAAATGTCGACCAGTGAAAAAGTCGAGTTTTTTCAAGCCCGGAGTGTTGACGTATCCGGGATCGAGGCTAGATGACATAGATGGAAAGGTGGATTACTTGGCCCAGGAGCTCGGCTATTACCGCCATGAGCACGCGCCGAGCACGTTAGACAGGATACTGCAGGCCTTGGAATTGCGTCGGGGAATTCAAGTGATTGACTCCGGTTCCCACTATCGCCTGCCACCGCCTCACCATTACAGCAAGGCTTGACTTGTCACGTGACCAGGGTCACACGTGGCACTGGGATCATTCTGAAACTGGAGCGTCTCACGCGAGATCTGATTCGAATGTGCTTTATATGCGAGTGCAAAGCACGTCGTTCTCATGTTACTGAAGCAACACTAGACCAAACTCAATATGACGTCACAAACTAGTACGTCCACGGCGCCAGTAATGACGTAGGATGTCTACGTGACGTCAACATGTGAGAGTGCGACAATCTTTCAAACACTGAACCCAAAGTTGGTAAGCTTAAAGCTACGTTTCCATGGCAAAATCCCTAAACTGCCATCTGTTAGTCATGATAACTATGCAAGCGAAGCAGAACCCCTTGACAGAAGCCGTCCATAAGCTGTTCATAAAACTGCCGTTATGACAACACTTGCTGCTTTATTTGTTTTATATCACGTTGAACATAACCTTGAAAGTAAACCCCAGACGGACAGAATTTGTGGCAGTGACAACGGACATGGTGGTGGTGGTGGTGGTGGGGTGGGGGGGGGGGGCGCTGAAGAGGCACAGAAAAGGGACCAAAAGCATAGACAAATAGTGTCAGTAATTATACCACCACCTCTACCTGAGCCGCATAATGACAGTGTAACGGCTTCTTATAATCACTAAGCATCTACTTTTTTTTTTCATTAGAGAAAGACTGAAAAATATTTCTTTAATACATACTGCATCCTTCTTAATGATCAGGATAATTGACAAATATATATTGCTATTTTATACGCAAAGTAGAAATGTGTTCTCTCCAAAGAGAAAAGAGACTTGATTTTTCATATACGCAGTACATCGACGGGAGATGCTTGAGACATGATCTGTCAGTGCCCATATTACTGCTGTATTGGCGGATCTAGGATTTTGCCAGAGGGATAGGTGTAAGGAAAAATGTTTTGTTTCGCATCGCTCAGCAAATGTAAAAGAGCAGACGAGGGCGATTAATACATATGCAGGGCATTGGTTTTAAAAATTTGAGTTTGTTTCATGTCGCTCATAATATCGTTTTTTTGTAAGGGGGGGGGGGGAGCGTCGAAAAGGGAGTACCTTGTTAATGGAGCTAATGGAGGTCTGCATGTGCCCGCTGTGCATGCACCCCGCTTATCCGCCATTGTTACTGTGAATACAGTGGTGATTTTAATTCCGTTTTTAACGTCAAGAGCACGTAAACTGTCAACTTATTGTTACCAGTGTGTCATATTTTTAAATTGCTGAATTATACGTACTTTTTATTGTAGGAAATTGTTATGAAATTGTGTAATGTAAATATTTTTGTTTTAATTTTGTGAATAGCATTTTATTGTAGCATTTAAGTGTCCGTTTTACGTCTGCGACGTACATATCTTTTACTTTATAGAGAAAAATCATTGCATGCTTTAGCAGCAAATAAACACGTCTTTGTAAGTCATCGTGTCGGCGTCCTTCAATTATGATTTTTCATCATTGAAGACATTTCACACGTGCAAATTTGAACCCTAAAAGCAACAAAGTTATCATAAAACGATTTTTTATTTAAACCGAACAATAGAAACTTTTTCAGAAACTTGTTTTCCTATCAAACATAATATTATTTGCTTTTGCATTTTTCTAACATAAATTAACATCCTGAAACATCTTATGATTTCATGTATTCTCAAGATGATATTACCACTGAATAGTGTCATTTTAATAAAAACAAATGTTTCTGAAAGTTACACATTAAATGCCATTTTATTATAATTATAACATGTATGGGGGGAAGCCACTTTCAAAACAACGTCCATGATTATTGGTAGCGTTTATACAGGTAAATGACAATTTGGATTAGAAAAACAATTTCTCCAATATTCTCGTCTTTCTACAACCCACTCGGCATCGTAACACCTGTGTGGAAGACAACAAACCCCGGACATAGGCCGGTAGCACTCCAGACCTGAAAAAATATACAAGTTTTATTAGATTTCATAACAAATCAGACATTAACAAGGCGATATACATGTTTTGGTATTCTGTACACTTTCACTACATATAACCTTCAACATTATAAGTGAATAACAACTCCCTTTTCAATTAATCTTTTTACTGATCGTATTAATATGGTACATGTATCATTTATGTGTCTTTTGTACCATTTAAAATGTTTTTTAGCGATTTACCCCTCCCACCCCTCCCCCATCCCCCCGTTACCGTTTTTGAGTACGTGATGATTTTCTGGTGAGCTATTATTCATCATTAAAAAAAATTATGGATATCATCGCAAGATTAGGATCAATTTGTATAAAAAATAATACATATAATATAACAGAATATTTTGTGTAAACAAAATACCTTCGCCACAGCTACATGTAGATGGGTCACATACTTCGCCCTTCTGTTGGAGCACATTTGAGCACAAACCATACCCTGCAGACCCCAGACCTAAAACAATCGATTGAGTTAATATTTTTTTGTTTCTAAAATTGACATCTGCTGAAAAAATTGAATTAAATGTCACAAATGCCACATGTAGTTTGAATCTCCTTTCCCAAGAAAGAAAACATTTTCAATGAACATATAGGATTACTTGTTAATTACATACGAAAAATACTGTGTATTCCATGTGAAAACTCATTTGTTTCCCATTAAGGGTTTTCATTTTAATAAAAGTATACCTGTACGTTATTTGATATTTTGTAGAAAAGTAGCCTACTGCTGCTGCTTGTCCTTTCATTGATTTTCTTCACGCCATCATTGCCAGCCTATATACTTACCTCCGCCCAGGAGAAGATCGCCGAAGCTTCCCGAGTGCAACCGACCTACCACCGCCCCGCTCTCATCCCGACAACAACTGTTCCTTCCGCACTCTGACGACGACCTACACTCCTTACTCTGGAAATGTTACAGTATTTACATACAGATAGATATCGGTAAGAGATCTAGTTCAGGGATTGCTGTAAACAATATGCGGATGAATATCTTAATGGCAGATCCCGGATGTGAGATTGGCGGAGGGGCCGGTAAATTATCATTATCGTGCTTAGAAGAATATTTGTCAAGAAAAAGTGCACTCCGAGATAAATAATATGCTAATGTTGTTATATTTCAACATGGATACATGTAGGTGTAATGACACTTTAATTTAAATTGTAAATCACTCACTGTTACAGTACCGCACTAAGAAGGGCATATTGGGAGGGCCTATAGGGAACGATCGCTCCTCTAAAATGCTCATACTGGATATTCATTTCGATTTTATTTTTATGGTATAAATAATAATAATAATAATAATAATAATAATAATAATAATAATAATAATAATAATAACTTACCGGTATATCTGGTTTAAGACGAGCTGAGAATGAAACTGGGAAGAGCGTCTGAAATTATCATATTTTGTATAGTAACCTACTGAATTTGCCGAGCTCTCAAGGTATACTATCCAATGACTTATTCATTCAGCGAGAATATAACAGCGCAGATATCGTATGGTGGTGTGGTCCCCCCACCCTCTCTCTCTCTCCCTCTCTCTCTCTCTCTCTCTCTCTCTCTTATACACTCACGAATACACATACAGACAGACACGTACAGAGAGAGAGAAGCTAAGAGAGGTGGGGGTAGGAGAGAGAGAGAGAGAGAGAGAGGAGGTAGGAGTGAGAGAAAGGGTATATATTGCCATGGTGCCTTCTGTGACTGTATAGTATACTAATATACCCCTATACATGAACTACTGCACGTAGTAGGCTACTAATATACAGGGTATAATACTATAGGCCTACATGCAGTGCGATATCGTATGTTTATACAGTAACATGAAGCAGTGCACTGCAAAACAAAACCAGAGATTTTATAAGTTTCAACACAACATTTAACCGAACAAAACTTATGCTGTAAGGTATTAAACAGACATAATTTAATCAGATTACAAGTTACAATAGCCAGTTTACTTACCACGACAACGGCGATAGCGACCAGTGTCTTCATCGTGTGTATAAAGAGCGTGTGGATATATAGCCTACTGCAATAGTCTCCTCTGTTTTCGTTGATTTAAAAGAAGCTAAAAGACGCCTCTCTTATATACGTGTATATTTCCGTGTCCGTGTCCCTGAATTAAATATACGCAAATCACAGGGGAGTGTTTTAAAGTTTATTTCCGGGTTGTTCCGTTTGAAACAGGACACGTCGGAGTTGATGAATATCTAAAGTTATAAAACACAAATAAATAAAAATATATAAATAAAAATATACATAAAAAGATGAGTCTTCAAAATATGTATTCTTGCTTCCACACGCGCAGTGTGTAAGGGGATACAGATATACCTTGTTCTTTTTCTCCCTTATTTTTGCTCTCTTCCATCTAGCTAGATCATTTTCTGTTATATTTTATAGCCTAGGCCTAAGTTACGGATCCGATAGATAATGATACAGTAGTCATTTTGGCATTTTTGAGAAGATACGTGTATGGTAAAATAAGGAGATGAAGATGAAAATTGATATGGAAAAGGAAGACATCGTCATTGCCCCGATGAGCTGAAAGTGGTTGGGTGGTATAAGCGTTGCCATAATTAGGGACAGGCACTTGCAGATCGAACATATTGCTAAGGGCATGGGGTAGGGGTGGAACGTACAAAATACTGGAGAAATCTGTTATATGTACAGTACTGGCTGGAATCCGGCATTGGCAGGCTATTCAGAACTAGCCTCCTCCCTCAGTATAAAACATGATAGCGAAATATTTCAGAGATATGTCAAACTCACAGCTTATGTAATGAACAGTAATTAATATATATATATAGTCGGGGTAAAATAACTGCTGTTTTTATTTCTTTTTATCACACACACACACACACACACACACACACACACACATATATGACAGTGCCTGTAAGAAATCTTTACAATGTCACCTCTGACTGTGAAATCTTGAACATGGAAACGATATGAAGACAAATGCAAAATATAAGTAGTTTTCACTGTAAGTACATGTATCTTAACGATTAATGTTATTGGATGGTCCGGTGTACATGTACTTTCCGTGACATTTCCAAGGTCTATGGTATTGATGTTGTTGACAGTTTCGACCGTATTGAAAATCAATTTGCAGCAACTGTCATTTCTACATTAAACCGTTTTTCTCCCATCTTGCTGACACGAGTAAGACAATTAGCTTTTTTTTTCATACCGTACATTGATAAGTTATGGATATTTTGAAATTGATTTTTTTGCAACTTAACTGACGTTTTTTTTTTGCGTTGGCAATAAGACCACTTAGCATTTTGCATCACTTAATGTAATTGTCATAAACATTTGCACAATTGATTTAATTGGGAATAATTATGTCGAGCCTTAAATGTCTCTTTTTTTCATTCCGCTGAATTTCAAGCTTGTTTTTTACCCCTGTGCCCGTTACGTTTAGTTCATACACTGCAGCCATAGATACTTTTACAAATCCTCTTCAAGAACAAATTTATTTATATAAAATAAAACATACACACCAGGTCTGCACCTTTGATAACACAAAACGATTTTAATAGGAACTTTACGCTATTTAGCAGAGGGATTGAATAAGCCACAGATTTTTCAATTATTTTCTGGGCTTGTTTCTTTTGACAATAAAATAATAACCCCATAAACAGGAATATTCGATAGGCATCCTTTGACAAACGTGCAATTCGATGCACACAGTAAAAATACGCCAATAGCTAGCTTGCCAAAAAATATACAATTCAATTGCAAATCAATCCATAAGTTTAATTACAGGTTTTCAAATTATCGATATAAATATTTACAAATGCCTTTATCATTTACACCGCTAAAGGCACCTTTCAATATATAATCAATAGGGTTAAAAATGTCAGCGCTGTCATAAAAGCGTTTTATTAGCGTCTGACTCATTAGTGTCTCTGTAGCAGTATAAGAGGTCGGTGTGACCCTGTACTGTGTACCAGAAGACCTGGCAGCAGAAGACATACGCATCATGGTAGTGAAGCGATCCCTTGCTTGTGAGGTCTTGGTGTGTTTGATTATATTCAAAGGTATGTTAATTCATATAAAATTTGGCGTTATCACTGTCATGTTTGCTTGATAAACTGTTAATATATCTCTATAGTCATGGCATGAATTCGAAACCTGCCAAATACCCCAAAAAGTATTCGGTATCACGGGGCACGTTGGCCCACCTGACATCAGGTTTGTCAAATTGTGACCCATGTCGCAGAACATTTGCAAAACAATAGCGTCTATGCATTGTCGACATTTATAGGGTGTTTAAAAAGTTACTTATTTAAAAACCAAAGACTTCAACAGTTCACAAGCCTTTGAATTAGAACTTTACGCAGACATTTGACATCTTTATTTTTTGGTCAATCGTGAAAATGTCAGTTGTTTAAGTGAAACAGTTTTGATATAATCATCAAATCCCAAAACACGTGACAAGTTCACAACTGCCAGACACTGTCAGAAGTCATACAGGCCGGCTGGACATTTTTTTTTAAATATTTAATTAATTTTTTCAGTGTGCCAAAACTAAAAGAGCACACACATGGAATTTTCAGCATTTATAAAAATATCATTTTTACTAAAATATCTTTTACTATCCAAAGGGGAAAATAAAACTACATTTTTTGTTTTGTTCAATAATCGCAATGAAGGCGAGAGGGAGTCACCTCGAAATATACTGACAGTCAAAGAAAACGCATCATTTATTTATCAAGTAATATTTTTGTTCCTTTGGCACATTAAGAAAATAACAGTACGTGTGAAATATGACTCATTATTCAGTTACTCAAGGTGAAATAAAGGTCAGAAAAGATCATTAAAATGCAAGGTCACGTAATCAAATCTCTTTGGTTCCGCCCATCCTCCAGCATCCCCAGGGCCCTCAGTCACTCTTTCAGTGTCAGACGTGGCATCACTGAACTTTTTTGTCATGTGTCACACTGGATAATTAATCGCCATATATTAAACCCGATTAATTCACACCAATCACGAGACAGGAAAAACACATAATTTTGTAACAACTGGTCAGAAAATCACTGAAGCGGAAATTTTAAACATCCTAGTGGTCAGCCCACTCCCTTATGACCAAACAAGTGCATTTGTATTCGTTTAAATGGTTGGAAACGATTCTCGGTAAAAAATACAAGAAAGTTTTCTGATGCGTTTTCGCTGACTGTACTGTCAGTATATATTTGAATACATGGATAGTATGACCATGATAGAAAACCATTTAGCCAAATGGTAATTATTGCAGGTTCTATTTAAGCGTCGTACGCTGTCAAAATAATGTATGAAGACTAAAGATACTTGATGATGGGTGTTCTGAACTGAATGACTTTATAGAAATGTATGTTTGTTTCAGTTGGAATCAAAAGCAGAGTAAGATCGTAAAAGAAAATTGCTCCTTTCGAATTCTACTATTTGTCACTGCTGTAGCTCTTAAAACATAATTGTGTGACACTACACCCTACAACTAAAATATTACTCTTATTTTTGTCCTTGCTACATGTACTCCGAAAATGAATAATCTAAGGTTATAAGGCTGTAAAGGGAGAGTTTACATAAGATTTAAAAACCATAATTATCTGTCTTTCTGTCAAGTGTTACTGCTAGACTTTTTATGGTGTCCCGGACAGTGACACGCATGCTTACAAACTGTAGCTAGAAAATAAGTACAGCTTTCATAACCAGGTGCCTTCTTAATCCATATAAGCATGCCTGTTGTCAAACGCCTGGTGCTGGGGAAATGTTTCTTAAATGCATACATTTGAGTGCGAAAATTCACATTTGAAGGTTTGCAAAATGTGCTGTCCTTTGTGGTCTTTTTGTTGTGGTCTTTTTTGTGTTGTTAATGAAGGAGAAGTTTTTTTTATCTTTATACTCCGTACCCCCCAAAAAAAGAGAGAAAAAAGTGGTATTAAGGGCAGCGACGCTGTGAAAAATTAGGGGCAAAAAGAAGCTAGTACATCTGTGTTTGTCGCTCAGACGCTGCCCTCCAGCTATACCTGGTACACGTGTATGCGTAGGTATAGATCGTTAAAACATAATGACTAAAAACATAACATGAGCCACACGTAAATATGTCCAGTGGCCCGAAGGGTCTCGTAAACAAACAGAAAGCACTTTGTTTTACTGGAGTAAAAACATGACCCAGCTATTAAGGCGCCATGACTAAGTCCGCTTGTCGAAGATCCTAGCAACTTGATGCTGGGATTGGAATTGTAAGTAAATAAACAAATAAACTAAATTTGAGCCTTGCCTAATGCAAGTCCTTCAAAACTACAAAAATGTTGCTACGACTACAAAAAAAGAAAAAAAAAAAAAAAGGAAGACTCTTACCTACAAAACGGCAACAAACCTGGAAATCAAAGGGAAAAAAATGGTACATTGTAAGCGGGCTGCAGAGAAATGTCCTGAAAGTGCAATGTGGGGTTAGAAATTTTCCTAAGAGGGTCTTAGTCTGAATTGATATGTTATTTAAAGCCTCGGTCACAACCGGCCGTACGGGCTCTTACGGCCTGTTTGTGTCCACATTTTGCGCAGAATCTCACGTGCAACGCAAGTCTCTTTTGCCAAATTTGGAGTTCGCAGGATGTTGGACATGTCCAAAAGATTCTACGAATAATCTGCGAACAGCGAGGAACGAGCAAAGTCGAAAGCACCGCGCGTCGCACGTGCGTGACCCCTACGCACGGAGAATATACGAGGTATAGGACTCAAGACGCACGGCCGTGTCTCGAAAATTGAAGCCTAGGTCCCAACCGAATGTACGAACATCCACGTTTTCCCCATTTTTTGGCCGTAGACCACACATTTTGCACGTTTGCAAATGTTCTCCTGTTATATTGCAGGTACAACTGCAAGCCTTCTGGGGTTTTGGCCTCTTCACAAAAACACGCTCGGAGCAGACAGAAGCGGAAATGGTAATGACGGAGTTCGTTATAACGTCCGAGCGTCCAGTTTTCTGGACAGCTATCTCACGTGGTATAGCAGCAACGCTCGCCTGACCATAGCTAACGGGGGACGATACGTGATGACCGGGTCGTTTAGTATCATAAGTAAGTATCGGAGACAATCTGTTACATTTCTCAATATTGAAAAGCGTGTTTCTTTCTTGTACAACAATGTCTTTTGGATTTTAATTTGGCCTGGGTCACTTTTAAATCTGACTTGCTTTCATTCTGTCCCGCGAAATATACATGTATATCTTAACACCAGTCGTTAAAGATTATAGTTATAAGTTTGTATATACTATATCAGCCTTTTTATGGAAACTTCTATAATTGATTTCTTCAACGAATAGTTGTACTAATTATAATGCTTTACTGCCTAGTCCGGATGATGTAGATTTTATTAATTTCAGTGGGGGTCAAGCCACGACATTCGAGTTATGGCAACACTAATACTGAAGACTTTGTTATATTCCAATATGACGGTGGATTTACTCTCTCTATCGACACTAAGAAGTACGGCATTACAGCAATTACGTCATCAGTGTCCTGTCCCGTGCAACTGGCGACATCTGGTGGGTAAAATAAGCATTACTTTCAAAAGCAAAGAATGAAATGTAATTGGAGAAAAAAAAAATATGTCGCCTTCTTGTCGTCTTTGGAAGATCAGGCCCGTAGTCGGGGGGGGGGGGGGGTTCGGGGGGTTCGAAAGAACCGCCCCTTTTGGTGGGAAAA